CAAAGAAAAAATAATCATGTGGTCAGGCCCACCTTGTCAGTCACATCAAAAGTTGTGGACCACACTACTCTATCTCTTAGTAGCTCATTTTTGGAAATAAGCCACCACCACATAACCATCATTCCCATGTATATATAAAATATGAAGTTTCATTATGTATATTCAATCACCTTTTATATGTGCTTTTTAATTTCTTGCAAGGAGATGTATTAATCAGCAAAAATTCTTTTTCACGGCATTCTCTAAATTTACTTGAATTTAGGAAATTTTCAATCTATTTCAGCTGAAGCTGGCAAAATTACCAGACTATGAACATTGGGAAATAGTAAATGTACAGTAGCTAAAATATATTAACACTTGTAAAACAGGCCTAGTTGACACCAAAGCTATGCTCCAATTTGCCCATGGCCGGAAGAAAAGTAGGTTCCAACTCACTTGCCTGGGCAAAGTGCTTGGCTCAGTTGTAGTGAATCAGTAAATAACTAGTTATAATTTATAAGTAAATATCTTCTCAGGGACCTGCTATTTTTTATGTTATCGTTACACTATTGGTTGTATAAACCTGTTTTTTTCCACGTTTCTTCGTTTCTTTTTCTTGGTTCTACCTTTCTTTCTCCTTCTCTGACTACATCTTTCATCTCCCACTCTCCTCTGCGCAAAAAACAAAAAAAAAAAACAAAACAAAAAAAAGACCCATCCCATCCCCAAAAAAAACGTCCTAAATTTATTACTATTGTACACAAGTTTTGGGCTCTTTTTATTGTTACTCTTGTTTATCTGTAATTGAGTTTCTAGTTACAAAGTATTAGGGCTCTTGCACAAAGGATAGGCATTGAATGGACTATTTTAGACTATTAGTTACCTTGGGCTTCCAGACTCTTATTCTCATAATGATTGCCAGAAAATTTTTTGGGGAAAGCTTGGTTTGTGATTTTTTTTTCTTCACAGTGATCAACATTTCTAAGAAGTCATGTTGTATTATCCAAAGTTTGTCTCCTACCAACAAATGAAAATTCTTGAGACAAAATGGACATATCAACCAAGATGAAGAGGTAGGAATCTCATGGAGGTGAAAACCACTTGTAACACGTAGGAATCTCATGAAGGTGAAAACCACTTGTAGCACTGACAATTCCTCCAAATATTGAACAACTTCAGTTTATACTTAAAATGCTGAATGTGAAACAAAAGATCACCAGTAACAAATGTAACATCTGTGTTGTACTTGATCAGGTGTGAGTTTGTTTCCCCTCGATGCACAACCACATTCACCTATAAGTTTCTTACTTTGTCGTTATATCCGAAAAATGAGAACATTCATGATTCTTTTACTCAATGATATAATATTTGTCTTTATTAAAAATAATAAATACAGAACGACACGTACCTAAATCTCAATTCTCCTTTAAACTGTCCAGACTGCAGTATAACCTGCCAGAGTTCATTTGCGCCATCAAGTATAAGATACAAAGAGAATCGATTTAGTGATTTAGAAGGGGAACTGTACAAACCACTAGATAATCACGTCAAGTCCAAGAAAAACAACAACATAATCATAATTGAGTACGGACAAAACAACAACATAATGGAAAGATTACTTCAATTCTAACAGGAAATTCTTTGCCATTCTTCACTCTATTGTAATAAAACAGTGAGGATCAGAAACCTAGAGGAAACTGTCACAATATGCATGTATATATAAAGGACCAGTGATGCGAGGGAACCCCAATCCCACTCCCCCACCAAGCGCACACACAGGCATGCACGCACGCACGCACACGCACCCACGCGGACACACACGCACACACAAAGCGTTTCCTGCCAAAAACATCAAAATATAGTTTAAATATATGTTACTGTAATCACTAATCAGATGATCTGGTGTATTGAAAATAGTATTTAATATATGATTTTGCACTATAATGAACAGAATGAAATGCCAGCTAACCATTCACTTATTCTCACTATATACTACTTCTAGCGGAAAGCAAAAAAGCATAAGGCTGAACAGGAATCAAAATCCTCAGCAACAAATGTTACATCAATAGAAATCTTAAAGTAAAAAGCATAAGGCTGAACAGGAATCAAAATCCTCAGCAACAAATGTTACATCAATAGAAATCTTAAAGTAGAAATTTGTACACTCTAAAAAAATATAAATCCTCAGCAACAAATGTTACATCAATAGAAATCTTAAAGTAGAAATTTGTACACTCTAAAAAAATATAAATCAGAGCCTACTTTGGGCTTTATGTATCTTAAGGAAACTGTACAATATAGGATTCATGTATCAGACCCCAAAAATTTGGGATGAAGACTTTGTTGTTGTAGTAACGAAACTATACGTATAAGAATCAAACAAGAGTCCCAATCTAATAATTAATAAACCAATCTATTTATAATAACATACACGTTGGAGTCCTTTTTCCATTCAGAAAGGAGGGTGAAGCTGACATTCAACTATTATGGATGAAAAGTAAAAAAAGTTTCAACATTGAGGGAACAAGCACAAAACCTACTAAAGTTAATGTCTACATCCAAATCTTCACCATTTTAACACATTATGCTTTAACCTCTAGCAATTGACTATTGTTTTTCATAGGAATAGAAATGTTTGCATGCTTTTAATTGTCACAAACTGAACACGTAGCACTCTAACTATGATTATATATTTCATACCTGAGAATCATCTGAAGGAATAAACCCCAATATAATCCCCCTGTTGATAGTCATAGCTGAAACAGTTCCACCCTGTGAACAGCTAAAAGAATTAGACGAGAAAAATTATTGCCCTTAAAATAAGAAGACACCCACTTAGAACATTAGATTGAAGGACAAGTGAGACCAAAAGAGATGGTTCTAAGGTTATATAATCAACAACAAGGCCAAAAGAGATGGTTCTACTATTATACAATCGACAGCAAGCATACTATTTAAATTCAAATTTTTTCTAACTGGCCCTTGAGGTGTGACTCAGGTTGGTTAAAATTAAGACGGGGTTGGGTACAAGTTCCCAAGATAAAGACTAGGGCCTATTTTTTGATATATGAATCTCGGTCACTAGAATTTGATGATGGGACCGCCCACTTTTGGAGATGCATCGTCTGAAAGTTGATCTACGCCATTTGAATTGTCTGGAAATGAATTCAAGATGGTTCTTAAGTTTAATTTATTACCCATCCATCGATTGATTAGCCAAAAAAAAAAAAAGCAAACAACTGAAAAGGGTGAGTCGGCCACGAGATTTTACACACGGCAGAAACTACAATTAATGAACCGTTTAAATAATTTATTAATTGAGACAACGTGGTCGTGGCTCCTCATTTCGTGCCCTCTGTCACTTCAGCCACCATCTCCTTCACCCTGTCCAGCTGATCCATTACAAAAACACAAAAATTTGGCACAAATTAAGAATCAGATGACCTTTTATTAGCAGATCCCTTGGATCCGGGAACATAAAGCAGCCGTAACGACGAGGAGACAACCGAGCGAGCGAGAAAACAATGGCAAAAGAAGAAGAAGGGGGGAAGAAGAAGAAGAAGAAGAAAAGATGTAAACATCAATCAAGAAACCACCAAGCGGAGCCCTCGATAAATTCAGGCGTCGAATGGAAACACGAGCGAAGATCTCAGATAGAGGAGATTACTTAGACGGCGTACAAATGCAGGATTCAAATCACAAGGAAGGCGACAGCGGTGCAGGGAATCTGAAGCGCTATACTAAAGTAAGTGAAGGGAACGGAACGGAATCCAGAGTCGTGGATGGAAAAGGCGGTGGGGAATGGAAACTGACCTCGTCGGGGGAGGGCCATGAGGCGGAGAGGCCCATCGGTCGCTGAGCAGAGAGGCTCTCGAGTCGAGATGACGGTGGGATCTGAGCCTCAGTTGATACTTAATGATGATGAGTAGAGAACAGGAGGGAACAAATTAAATCCAGCAACCCAATCATCGGTATAAAAAAAACCCACTCCTTCGGGTACTAAAAGGATTGGACTCGTTTTATCTTGCGATTTTCGCATCGGTCCCCGATGTCTCATTTACTTATACGCAGGTCCCCCAGTTGAGTTCAACATTTATGCTTACAGGTCTCCCGGATCGTTTTGTGATAAATGTCCCTGAAACTGTCAATCTTTTGAGATATATGTTCCCATGATTAATTCTCATCCAGGCAACCCAACTAAACTAATGGCGTTATTAGTTTCATTTTTTTTCCCCCATTTCTGCCGTTGTCTTTAAGGGGTTGTTTGGTTAATGTATTTGACATTGGGGGTTGGGCAGAAAACCTGCCAAAAGAGAGCACTTTTGACAGGCTTTTTGCCCAACCCCCAATGCCAAATACATCAACCAAACAGCCCCTAACCTACCCTTATTTTTCCCATGATTAATTGCACTTGGAAACCGTGTTATTTTCCCCTACTTTGCACTTGCATACCTCAGTTGTTTTTTCGCAACACTTATATACTCTAAAATGTTAGATTCTGCACATAATTACCCTCAGTTGTGTAAATGAGAGAATTATTTTTTTCTCAAAAAGCCTCGTCTGACACTCACATGCAAACTTGTAAGGCATTTTAACCCCTGATATTTGTTGAATTATTGTTAGACCTATCAAATCCTATTTTTAAATAGAATTATGGTAGGCTTAAAATATAATTATGTTAATTTTAACAAAAGTTAAGGATCGAAAAGTTCTAATATAATGCTAGCTTGTGAGTGTCACATAGGAACTTTTATGGAAAAATTCTAGTATTTCCACTAACTTAGTGTAATTAAGGGCAAATTTTAAAAATTTAATCTATGCGAGTGCTGCCAAAATAAAATGAGGGCGGATGCATGCAAAATAGAGAAACCATAGGGCATTTAACTGCAATTAAGCCTTTAATTTAGCTAGGTCAAGTGGATGAGAACTAGCCATGAGGACTTGTTTCAAAGAACTTAATAATTTTAGGGGATTTATATTAAAATATGATCAATGGGGGACTTGTGTCCAAATAGGTGACATTCGGGGGACTTATATCCGAATAGATGAGCTTCTGGGGGAGCTTTATATGGAAATATGATGAGATTTGGGGGACCAATTGTATCTCAAAAACCCTTTTATTTTTAGAGATAAAAGAGAGAATTAGGTAGCCAAATATTTGGACGGACGCACGCACCCCCTATAATCACGGTCACGCCTGAATCCGTTCAGATACGCAATAGCTGTCCAGTTAGGGATGATTACTGTGACTGCTGAGCCTATTCTCAACGCTGGGCCAAGCTAACAAGACAGCTGGAAGATTTAGCAATATCAAGCTTCGGGAGTCTACTGGAGAAATAAAGATATTTCGAGGTAGTATACCATGAAAACTCCAAATTTTATTAGCACAAGTAACTATATGAATATAAATATCACATTCCAAATCAAATATGCTGTTTTTTTTTACTGACTTTTAACGAGAAGGCATGCAACTAACCTACCAATGAGAAATTATCTAGTTTTTATATACTGGTCCACTTAAAGGGTGGTTTAGTAGGTCACATGACAAAGTCGTGTCGCTTCTTCGTGAGGTGCCCGATTCGATTCTCATGTGCACCAAATGTGTCGTCAATATATATATATACATCCATATCCAAAAAACCTATACTATGTGTTTAGACTATGGCTTGTTATATATTAACAATTTGTTAAAGATGGCAAGATGTTAGGCGAGAATAAATGCCACTTATAACATCAAGTGGCCCATCCAAAACTACCTCCGCAAGTGCTACATGTTGGGAATTAGCTTTGTATCAGTACAATAAAAGTTATTGATGTCCACACTTATTTTATTATACATAAAATTGACGTTTTATTTGCAAAAAATTAAAGTAATGACACAAATAAAAAGTGTGGAAAATCACGATCGTATAGTTGTGCCATTAGATATAAAATAAAATATAATTGAAAAAGGCTATTGTTTGTGGGAAAATTTACAGTAAAAGAAATAAAGGAAAATTGATTTGTATTCCTTCGATCTCAATTACAATTTGGATTTTCTGATTACAAAAGAGAGGAGAATTAATCTGGATTCTCCCCTTTGTTTAATTCTGGGTTATTCACGGTGGCGATAAAATGCCTCCCTCGAATGCTCGCGTCGAGTTTGCTCTCCGTTGACGATCCGACGTTTTGCTTCACTGGAACGATGTCTTCTCCTCACGGTTTGACGTTGTGGAGAACTTGCAAAGCAAGTTTTTGAACTCTGAATGAGTTTAGAAGAACTCTGTAAAAGGGTTTATTTGAACCGAAAATCGGTTAGTAAGCCAAGGCCAGAAGAAAGCTCCGGTGGTCGATCTCCAGATCTGAGAATGCTCCAAAGATCCTCTCTTTGCTGCCAAGCTCCAGCGTCAATCCGAACCAAGAAGTTCCAACCTCGCTGCCAAGTCTCAGATCCAAAAAACCAGCCCGAACTCAATTGAGTTTACCCATATTTATAGGGAATTAAGGGGTGTAACCGCCCTCCTTAATTCTCTCCATAATGGGGTTGAGAGGGGTGTAACCGCCCCCTTAATCCGCTCCTAAGTGGGGCGGAAATCCCTCAAATCGTGGAGGGAAAACGATTCCTGCAACCGTTCAGCTCGTGTTTGAACGAGTCAAACGCCCACGTTGGCGTTCAGGACCCTAACTCCGCGTTTTAGAATGGAGACGCGGAGTTGGGTACTCGTTGGGTGTTGAAAAACGCGAGGGCCGCTCGCGTTTTGGAGTCTGAATGTTGGAAACGCGGGGGTCGCCTGCGCTTCGTTTCATGAAGGTTGGAAACGCGAGGGTCGCCTGCGTTTTGCTTGTTAAAGCTTGGAAACGCGGGGGTCGCCTGCGTTTCAGGAATTGAAACGCGAAGATGAATTCCGCGTTTTTAGAAGGAGCCAATGACTTATAGCTTCTTCTGTAGAGCGTTGCAAAGACTATTATCTTGTAATCTTCATCTTGGCTCCTTAAAAATATGAGAGTCGTCAGATTGTAACTCCCGATGTTGATTGTGAAGACTATTGATTAGAGCTTTCATCAGTTATTGTGAAGGTCATCAGATTGTAACTTTCATCGGTCTATGTGAAAGTCTTTAAATTATAGCCTTCTGGAAGTCGTCAGATTGTAACATCCATCATCGGTGTTTGATGGGGGATTAGCTATCTATTTTTATTTTTATTTTTTTTGACAACCTACAGCTATTAGTCACACATGGATTGTGTGAGGGTCTATTGATGAGCTTAAATAACAAATCTTGGGTTTTAAGTATATTGGTAATTAAACTTTTATGATAGTATATAAGTTAACCAACTCTATAGTTAAGTGTGTTTTGGTGAAAGTAATCCTAGAATGACTAACCTTTTGGGAAGCTATAGTGTTGAATAGTGATCTTTATTTCTAAGGGCTAAACGGAACTATGTGTCACATCTCTAGACACATGTATGTGTCATGAGTTTTGTGGCATATGTATGTGGCTAATAGGCACACATGGATTGTGTGAGGGTCTACCGATGAGCTTAAATAACAAATCTTGGATTTTAAGTATATTGGCAATTAAACATTTATGATAACATGTAAGTTAACCAACTTTATAGTTAAGTGTGCTTTGGTGAAAGTAATCCTAGAATGGCTAACCTTTTAGGAAGGTATAGTGTTGAATAGTGATCTTTATTTCTAAGGGCTAGACAGAACTATGTGTCACGACTATAAACACATGTATGTGTCACGAGTTTTGTGGCATATGTATGTAGCACCACTCTCGACATATATAGTATCATGAGTTTTGTGACACATGATATATCGCAATTTTTATTACATATATATGTATCATAAATTTTGCGACACATTCTCACACACACATGCTCTACCTACACTTTGGGTATGTGTCGCACTTTATTTGTATGACAAAAATATGTCACATGGAGATAAAATATATATATCACAATTTACAATTTTTGTTATAATGAGAGTCGAAAAAGAAGCTGAAAGCAAAATGAGGAAAAAAACGATGATAGCCTGCGAGACCGGCCAGTCCGACCGACAGGATTCTCTACCAGTATGCCTGGTCAGTCAAACATGTTCGAGCTAATGTTTCCTATTTTACCATTTTTTGAAGTTATGTTCTAGTTAGGACTCCTATGGAGTTATGTGTTCAATTTTTGAGACTATAAAAGAGATTTTCTTAATTCTAGGGTGTTATATCAAAAAATAACCTAAATACTAATCCTCCCCCAAGAGTCGACATGTGTCCTGAATTAATTACACACTATCTCGATTTGACCCTAAGCAGGACGAGTCTAGTAACGTCATCACTCGACCCTTACCCAGATGGGCCGAGTCAAAAGGCATCTTCACTCGAGCCCCTCAGTTCAGGATGACCTCATGCTTCTTCATTTGGCAAGGTTGGATTGAGAACCTCATAGTCCGAGATGGCCGAGTAGAAAGGCATCCTTTGTCGTCCCACTCGCAAATTTGACTCGAGAGGCGGTTTGTCCTCGAACTTATCGTCGACAGCCAGTCACCATCACGGTGGATGCATGATTGGAGTCATCATTACTCCACCCCCAAAGTCTTAATGATTCATTGGACCGCATCAGCACCTTAAGCTATCTGTCATCACTGTATTAATCACAATGTGACTCAGACCCTATAATATCGACACCTGTAGAGTATCTACTAACTTAGCCGACTGCCAAGACTCAGCCAAAATTACCTGAGCACCCCCTCAATTGGGCATAAATAGGCTCATCGCCTACTAACCAAAGGTACATGCAATTCCTGCACATTTAGAGAGAACTATATCAATTTCTTGATCCTATTCAGATCGTAACTGACTTGATCGTCGGAGGAATCACTGGAGAACCCAACTCTGGTCATCTAACATGTTACAACTTTGCATGACTCTCTTCCTATCAGGGAATCAACCACTACAGGAGGTCAAGGGACCCCAATCTCTTCAAGATCGGCCCTAAACACTCCTGTTGAGAACTCACGCATCAACATAGGGTTAGATGTATCAAGCTAAGAATAGTATCATATTGTCAAAGAGAAGTAGAGAGGACTAAGGAGAGAAATCTAGGGTTTGAAAGATCTTTTGGTGGAAATTAAGAGAGGGAGTTTCTTGTGGAATCTTTAGAGCTCACAAGAATAGATTGCATCTTGTAAATCTCTAATATAAAGAAGCCTCAGATCTCTTCCCATGGACGTAGGGATTGTTAAACCACGTAAGTCCTGTGTCTTTATGCTCTTGATCCATTTTTTGCAAATTATTACTTTCTATTTGGTTCAAACTTATAGTTTCTTGGAGTTACCACACTGTCAGGTGTTAGATTGGTCTATAAAGAAGGAGGTGATCTAATCAGATGTTCGGTAATATTTTCCCAAGTTGCGCTTTTGCATAGATTATCCACTGGTGAACAAAAATCAGTGTCGTGTTGCGGATAGTGTTGTAGGCTGTCTAAAAATCACAATAGATAGTTAATCCCCCATCAAACACCGATGATGGAAGTTACAATCTGACGACTTCCAGAATGCTACAATTTAAGGACTTTCACGTAGAAGGTTACAATCTGACGACCTTCACAACAACTAATGAAAGCCACAATTCAACAGCCTTCGCAATCAACATCGGGAGTTACAATCTGACAACTCTCATATTTTCAAGGAGCCAAGACGAAGATTATAAGAGGACGATCTGTGCAAAGCTCTAGCAAAAGAGACTACAAATTAACGGTCTCTTCATATTAGAATGCAGATATCTCTCAAACCGTAAGGAATTTGGCGAAACGGATGAAGCGAACCGAAGCCTTTGGCTCGGTTCGGATGGCCCCGTCTCGTCGAGATAGCCGATTTTCATATATAATTCGTCCAATTCCGACTTACGGTTTGAAAGTTATGACCTGTTCTTCGTAGCAAATTATGTTCTGAAGTCCGTCTGCAAGACCGGACTTCGACAGAACATTGGACTTAGCTTGAAGCTCGCCAAGCCCGCCTAAGGTTTGCCTCTGCATTACAGAGTCAAAACGCATAGGTCGAACCAGCGTTATAACCTCAAAACGCAGAGGTTATCCTTGTGATATAACATCAAAACGCAGAGTTACGGCCCAACTCTGCGTTTTCAGCCTAAAACGCAAAGTTCACCTCTAAAACGGCCCAACTGTGCGTTTTCAGCCTAAAACAGGCTCAACTCTGCGTTTTCAGCCTAAAACACAGAGTTCATCTCTAAAACAGCACGACCTGTGCGTTTTCAGCCTAAAACAGGCCCAACTCTGCGTTTTCAGCCTAAAACGCAGAGTTCATCTCTAAAACGCATGCGGCCTGTGCGTTTCAACTCCCAGCGAGCGCCCAACTCTGCGTCTCATCTTTAAGACGCAGAGTTAAGGTCCGAACGCAAGCGGCCCTTGCGTTTTCAACTCCCAACAAGCGCCCAACTCTGCGTCTCATCAATAAGACGCAGAGTTAAGGCCCAGAACGCTGTTTTCAGCGTTTTGACTCGTTCAAAACACTAACAGAACGGTTTCAAAACCGTTTATCCCACGTTCTGAGGGATTTCCGCCCCACTTAGGAGTGGATTAAGGGGGTAGTTACCACCCTAAATCCCCTATAAATAGGGGAAAACTCAACTGAGTTCGGGGATTTTGGCTCTGGGCTCTTGGATTATTCTTTTTGGGCAGCAAAGCAAGAGCATTCGTTCTTCCACTGGAGCTTTAGAGGTCGACACAGGAGCTTCTTTATCCTTGGCTTATTAACCGAACTTTCGCGTTTAAATCAATCTTTCATAGAGATAAACTCGATCTGAGTTATCAACTCGTCCAGAGTTTCCAACTTGCTCTGCGGTTCTTCTTAAAACTCGCTCTGAGTTATTAACTCGTTAAGAGTTATTTTTAAGACTTGCCACGCAAGTTCTCCACAGCGTCAAATCGTGAGGAGAAGACATCGTTCCAGTGAATCAAGACGTTCGGATCGTCAACGAGAAGCAAATTCGACGCGAGCATTCGATGGAGGCATCTCATCGCTACCGTGAAGAACCCAGTTTTAAACAAAGGGGAGAATCAAATTCATTCTCCTCTCTTTTGTAATCGGAATCCAAATTGTAATTGATTTTGAGAGGAATACAAGTCGATTTTTCTTTCATTGTCTTTTTACTGCAAAATTTCCAACAAACAAGTGTGCGCCAACAATGGTAACATACTCATCCTCTTCCATCAACATCCCACCTCGATCCATCTACTGCAGCCTCCAAATGAAAACCGAGAGAATGGAGAGGGCCTTAGTTAGTGAGGAGTGTTGTGCGCAGCGGAAATTTCGGCAGCACCTCTGGTGCGCAAGGTGCACAACAAGAGATTAGATCACAACGAAATTCTTGTTTCTCAAAGGAAACAAGAACCAAAAGCCAGATATCTCATCAAAGTGAGATATCAGCTCTTCCTCTCGTCAGCTCTAGGACTGCGCGTCGAGGGAACCTACAAGCTATTACAAATCACGGCAAGAACATAAATTTTTACGTGGTTCGGCAAACTGCCTACGTCCACGGGGCAAGGAGGGGGAGATCTACTATTAGAGGGAGAGATACAACTGGGGTTTACAATCTCACAACCTAAACCCTCTCACAAACTCTCAGGTCCCTCACACAAATATCTCTCTCAAAAGGGGAGCACAAATCAAAGAACAACTGCAAAAAGACTTTGTATTTCTCTGTGAATAGCCGCCAAAGTCTGTCCTTGCTCTCTGCCACTTGCTACAGTCGAAAAGAAAAAAAAACGATTTTTTTTCTTGCTCCACGCAACTGCAGCCGCAAAACCTCCTACACTTGCACCTTTCCGCAGCCAAACCTCCTTGCTTGCTTTTTCACGAAAAACCTAGGTGCATTTATATGGAGATTGATGAAATCGGGTGGGCCGCACTTGGGCTTGTGCTCTTCGTTCACGCGTCAACTTCACGCGTCAAACTTCACGTGAAACAATTCACGCCTGGGCCCCACACTCACAAGGAGCAGGACTAATTAGTATTTAACAATCGTCATTTGTGTATATCATCTTCCTGTGTCTAATAATTTTCAACTTTTCACTAAATACAAGTTACATAATATATAAAAATAATAATATATAGAATGAAATGTGCTAGTATATTTGTCCATACGGGAAGGAAGGATTCAAATCTAACAGCTTGGTTTGTAATGGAGGCCACGACGCACTTATATACTTGTTTTAAAGGAAAATTACACAAATGTTTTGTACTTTAGGGGTTTTGGATTTAAAAAAAAAACTTGAATTTTGTAGATAATACAAATAAAACCCTTCACTGTTGGAATATCTCATAAACATGTAGTAACATGTTTAGTGAAAATAATAAAACAGTTTGTCCTATCTTGCTCCCCGGCCCATATGAAGGTTCTTCATTCAAAATTTTCATTGCAAAATTTGATTTGCATAATCCAAACGCATTACTCTTTCTGAAAACATTAATGCAGGTTTTCCCTCATTTTCTATAGTTCACGGAGGTTTCCTGGGGCCTATAGGGGGGGTTGGGATCCTCTACTAAGACATAGTGCCTCCTAATGCATCTCCACCTTTCATTTTGTGCATAAGCACAAAATACGAGGAGGTACTATGCAATGAAAGGTGAATATGCATTAGAAGATATTAGGAGGCATTATGCCTTAGTAGAGGATCCCAATCCCTATAGGTGAGGGGGCGCTGAAAATTGCCATTTATTAAATAATAACTAATAACTAAATTGCTATAGCCTACAGGTGGTTGGCATATGGTTTTGTTGATGGGTCGCGTGGCGCGGCCGGGTGTCGCATCATGCAGGCGTAGGTGAAGCTTATCTGACCGTAATAATTCCACATGCTCCTAATTCAAAATCTTAAATGCGAAGAAAATTAATATTGCAATTCGTTGCGCATGGTTTTGGTTTCCAGCGAGAGGAGCCGGTACCAGATCGATCGCGTAATTGGGCCGCTGACTTGAATTGTGGTTGGAGCGCGATTGAGAGAGTCGGTGAATCGTGTACTCATGAGACTTGAGGGAGCCCATCCATCCAATTAGTCATTTTCCGCAGCGCACTTTCCGTCATCGGGTGAGGAGCCAGACCCGGGCTGAACAGGATTCGTGATCACGAAATACCAGCGAAATCGTCTGCTCAATCGCATTCTCCGACATATATAAAGTACCCTGATGCTCTCTGCTGATCCAATGACCAACATGAATGTGATTACAAATAAATAAATTATTATATGGACAGTCCTAATCGACTACTCGCATGCCTATATATATTGAATATGAACATCAATTAATCCCTCCCTCATACCCCCGTGTAAATCTTCCGTGGCTCCTCCTCCGCATCCGAGGCTCTGACGATATCAGTGGCGTAAAACATGGGAAGCATTATAAGGTAGCAGCAAAACACGAGGGAAGGACCGAGCATCCACAACAAGAGGGGGATTGCGGCGTAGAATAGCCTGTTCCCAACACCGTGCAGAAGAAAACCCTTGTTGAGCGTGTCACAAATGTAGCCCACTGTGATTGCAGGATCGCGTTCATGCTCATCCCCGATGTTGGGGATGTTAATGAGGAAGCAGGCCTGGTTCATGATCCTTATGGAGAGGGTGTAGCAGATGAAGGTGAGGAGAAAGACGAAGAGGAGAGTCACAAACTTGAGGTAAATCATGAAATCCTGATGAGCGCCGTATAAAGAGCTGTTGAGGGGTTTCTTTACACTGTATGTGCTGCTAAGGATGGCAGCGAGGCCGGTGCAGAGGAGGATGGAGGTCGTTGCCATCAGGGTCGATGCCATTATTGCGTTTCTTATGCTTTGCACCACCACCATGTGCTTCTTCCCGTTTTCCTGAGTTCAGGGGGAAAAAATAAAAATCAACACAGATCAAACACAAAACTCGTGACGAATTAAGTAATCGACAAAATAACATGTGCATGGTGCACGGAGACACGCTCTGTTTTTAGACAAACTTAATCCACATTGCAAAATTGACTCACTAAAATGGATGAAGACTTTAATATGCGCTCAACTCGGATTGTGCAGGTGAAATACGAAGGCACGCATCCATCAATACGCTAATGAAGGGGAAGGGTATACCTACTCTAAAATTCATTAGGGGACATGCTGGGGCAACTAACTAATTAAAGCCAGCATCTTAAATACAAAGGAAATTATTTAAATAAATTAAACAGAAAAAGGCGTATATGGTAGATAGATAGATAGATTAAAAAAAACAGACAGACAGATAGATAGATAGATATACGAGTACCTCGATCATGGCAACCGCCCATCTTCGTTGGGCGGCGGAATTGACACCGACATCAGTCGTGTGAGGTCGAGACTTGATCACTCTCCAAAGCCAAACATGGTACACAGAGCACAAAGTGATGCCCAGGGGGACTAGAATCATATCCAAGTATCCCGCTCTCCACTCCATAACCACAATCGCATCAGTCCTCTACGATCTCGATCTTACGGGAAAACACCCTTCTGTGCTCCCCAGCATATAAAGCCTCCGCCAACCCTGTTGCATTTATTAACAGGGGGAGGCTGTTCAAGGCAGGCAGCAAGTGTTTCGGCACATCAAGCTAATGTATTGCCGCTGCCGCATCACCAAATCTTTATCACTTCAAGGTTTTCCTACACTTCTTTCTTTCTTTCTTTTTATTGTTGTTTGAGGGAATTCCAATTTTATGAACTCTTTTTTGCCTTCGCTTTATATATATAAAATCTATCCTAACATAATAAGCTGAGCTATAGTTTACACCAACTGTTTGGCTAAGAAGGCATGAAAGATAAAAGACGGGAAGCGCGGTCCCCTTCCCCATGAAACTGGGAGCTGAATTGCTCAGAGAGTCAGTTTCACGAGGGGAAGGGAATTCAGTTGAAGGCAGGGGAAGGATGCTTTCAAAATTAAAGCTAACAAGTTGTTAGTTAGCCTCATGCATGTGTTCCTTTTGCCCCCCGTTCATGGCCATAGGAGTCGTGACGTGCTAATCAAACGTAACGAAGCAACGTCCAAAACAAAAGCCGGGTGGGGTGTCAAAATGATGGCAGGCGTACATCATAACTAATTGGGAGAAATGCTTCCAGCCCCCAAAACCAAAGAAAACGTGCTCCCCCTCTTAAAACTTTTTCAACGGGCTCTTTGCCTCCAAAAGTAAACTAATTATTCACTGAGCCCCCAAAACACAAAGCCCAAGAATTTTACACAGGTAAATACTATAATAATCATTCTCTCTCTCTCTCTCTCTCTCTCTCTCTCTCTCTCTCTAACCACGCAATCCCTCCGCTCTCCCTCCTCCTTCCCCTACCTCTCCACCCGCCGCCACCGCCGCCCTCCTCCTACAATCCTCGCCTCCTCCGTCGTCGTCGCCGCCCCAAAACGCAACCTTCGCTGCCGATTGATCCACCGCGTCAATCGTTCCTTTGCCAGCGATCCTCACAACCTTCGCTACCAATTTAACCTCCCCACAACAAAGATTCAGCGCCTTGGAGCTCCCCAGGGACACCACCGCCGCCCTCCTCCTACAATCCTCGCCTCCTCCGTCGTCGTCGCCGCCCCAAAACGCAACCTTCGCTGCCGATTGATCCACCGCGTCAATCGTTCCTTTGCCAGCGATCCTCACAACCTTCGCTACCAATTTAACCTCCCCACAACAAAGATTCAGCGCCTTGGAGCTCCCCAGGGACACCACCAACAGATCCTCTGCCCCGTCGGCGAAGGGAAACTCCCTCTTGTTAGTAAGCACGGCGTGATTACAGCCGCCGTCGGGTTTCCCATCCCAACCCCCCTCCCATCGCTTTGATCTCGGTCCTCCTATCCACCGACTTCACCTCAGTCGCTCGATCCGCAACGCAGGTCGCGACACAGACGTCTTTGATGAGGAAATTAAAGCCATCGGATACCACGGCGTTAGACCTCGAGAACATGAACGCCGACCCCGTCAACAGATCGAAGCACAAGATCAGCAACGACTTTTTAGAATCCAGGCTCAGACACGCATCTCCAAACAACTTCTTGAACTTGTTGCTTAATAATTTTGACGAGCTGAACAGCTTGCGAAATCTCCCTCTCCTCTGAAACATCTTTTGATTTTTGGCTAGGAATAATCAAGAAATTATATGTAAATATAACTAAATTTTGGGCTAATTGGCTTATAATTAGTTGCAATGGTGGAATATCAGTGGGTTGTTCTTGAAACTTCTGTCGGTTACGCGTTTGTTGTTAAGGTTATACGAGCTGCTTGTTAAGATTACGGTTGTTTGTTAAGGTTACGCGTTTGTAGTTAAGTTTACGCGTTTCTTGTTAAGGTTATACGAGTTGCTTGTTAAGATTACGAGTTACTTGTTAATGTTACGCGTTCATTGTTAAGGTTACGCGTTGCTTGTTACGCGTAACCTTCATATTTAACGGAATCTGACAGAAGTTTCAAGAACCACCCATTGATATTCCACCATTGCAACTAATTATAAGCCAATTAACCTAAAATTTAGCTATATTTACAAACACGCAACATTAACAACCAAAGCGTAACCTTAGCAACCAACGCGTAACCTTAACAACAAACGCGTAACCTTAACAAGCAACCCGTAATCTTAACAAGCAACTTGTATAACCTTAACAAGAAACACGTAAACCTTAACAACAAACGCGTAACCTTAACAAGCAACCCGTAATCTTAACAAGAAACTCGTATAACCTTAACAACAAAGCGTAACCTTAACAACAAACGAGTAATCTTAACAACAAACGCGTAACCTTCATATTAACGTAATCCGATAGAAGTTTCAAGAACCACCCACTGATATTCCACCATTGCAACTAATTATAATCCAACTAGCCCAAAATTTAGCTATATTTACATAAATTTAGCCCAAAATTCAAGAATCACCCACTAATTATAAGCCATTAGGACTTCTCCGATCCCCCCATCTCATTGGTACAAAATTCAAGGAAAAAACAAGAAAATTCATTCCTTATCGCCTTCAGTACTTATTACCCCTCAGCCACTCTTATCTTGTTCCCGCACCCACACTTTAGCTTACCGTGATCCCTCTCGAAGAACTCCCTGTTTGCGTCGAAAATTGATGTATTCATTGCGGTATTCATTACAACTTCGGTCGTTACAATGAAAACA